CTGGAGGATGAATGCTAACTTTTTTCCACTTGATAAAAGTTAACGTGAGGGTTCCCGATGGTTAGGCTGACAGTGATCACTGACTGTTTTTACAAGAAAAAATAAATAAATCTTGGATTACATCAACTTTGGTGTTGACGCACTATGGTTGTGACACAGAGTTTTATCAGAAAGGTGTGCAATAAACGAAATAAAAACAAACTAATTATCACAGCAGTGACCTCATGGCATGTGTATCAAACAGGAAGTGGTAAAGGGGTCCACAGAGTGTAAGCTACCCACAATAATTCCTGATTTTTTTGTACTTTTAAAAAAATCTGACGGTGTTGACAAAAACTCTGGACACGATTTTAATCACTTAAAAAAAATTTAAAAATAAATTTTCAATTGCATATTTTGATATTATATAAGGGACTTAAATACTTTGTGATGAGAGCCATGATGTTTAATTTTACATTACTTTTAATTTTTTTTTCTGTATTTTAATATTATCACACCTGCTGGATTTTTAAGGTACTGGTAATGTATTGTACCATTTAAAATAAATATATATTTATAAAAAATGCAAAATCATTGTTTTGTTGTATAAACATTGCCTTGGTTTGTCTTTTAGGCAGTTGGGTTAACACTTGTATGCATATTTTTAACCACAAAATTGGGTTTTATCTGCTGGACATGTTTTGTCCCTTATCTCAAGAATCACTAATATGCATTAGCCGCATGTCAGTATAAGCTGCAGTGTTCACAGTGTGGGAAAAAAGTAGCAGCTTATGATCCGAAAACTACGGTAACTCCTTCAAATAATTTCTGCATGTATAATACAAACAGTATGCACTACATACTCTTCTCAAACAAGAAAAGTTACTAGAATGAATGTTTTACAAAGAGAATAAAGACTAATTTTGCTTTCCCTTCTCCTCCTCAGGCCCCCATCCAGCAGTTTGCAGATAGACTCAGTGGCTACTTCGTGCCCTTCATTGTTATCGTGTCCCTGTTAACACTGATAGTGTGGCTGGCCATTGGCTTTGTCAACTTTGACATTGTGAAGGAGAACTTCCCGGTAAGTGTGCATGCAGACGACTTGTGTGTGAATAAAAACAGCTGTAGCCTGATCACACCACTCTCCTCCTCAAAGGGTTACAACCAGAGCATCTCCAAGGCAGAGGTCATCGTCCGCTTCGCCTTCCAGGCGTCCATCACCGTTCTCTCCATCGCCTGCCCCTGCTCTCTGGGGCTGGCAACTCCGACGGCGGTCATGGTTGGCACAGGGGTCGGCGCTCAGAACGGCATCCTCATTAAAGGAGGCGAGCCGCTGGAGATGGCGCATAAGGCGAGACCCTTACGATTCCTTTAATGCTTTTTTTTAAAACTGCAGAAACACTGAGGTGGGTAGAAAGAAAATATGTCTGTAATGAGAGAATAAATGAAAGAGAAAAGAGCTGGAACAACCAGAGAAATGTAACATTTCACTTCAATATTTGAGTCGGCCTCTATTCTAATTAACTGGTGACACCATGTGGCATTGCTGCTTGATTACAGCCAGGGGCGATTCTAGCATCTGTTGGGGCCTGAGGCAGAAATGGGCCCCTCCAACCAGAGATCAAATATGTTATAAATAAAAAAAAAAAAAACAAGTAAAAAAAAAACCAAGTAAATAAATACATTATAAAAATCGAATAAATAATAATATCAAGTAATCTTGAGAAGGAATGTTTAGAGTGCAGTGCTCAGAGTGTAATAAGGCACCTCTTAGAAACCCTTTTAAACCTGACACTGACCTCTATGTGTCTCAATCAGATCGGTGTGGTGATGTTTGATAAAACTGGCACTATTACAAACGGCGTGCCGCGGGTGACTCGAGTCCTGGTGTTGTGGGAAGTGGCCCGCATGCCCCTGAGGAAGATCCTGGCAGTGGTGGGTACTGCAGAGGCCAGCAGCGAGCACCCGCTAGGCATAGCAGTTGCCAAACACTGCAAACAGGTGAGAGGTCTATTTCTGCCTGCCTTTTTGTTCAGGAGAAAACTTTACTGACTTTCTATCAACTTTCTGACAGGAGCTGGGCTCCGATGTCCTCGGGTGCTGCCAGGACTTCCAGGCCGTGCCCGGCTGTGGGATCAGCTGCCGGGTGTCCAGCGTGGAACATCTGCTGCTGCAGCCGAGCGAGGAGCGATTTCTGCTGCCAGGAGCTACTATTGAAGAAAGCAGCATGCTGCCTGCAGGAGAGTCCACCTCGGCAGGTCAGAAAAAAACTGTAACTGTAAACTTTATTCAAAGCAGAGGTGGCAAAAGTACAGATTTTTTTTTAGTTAAGTAGAAGTACAAATACCTGGGTTAAAAATACTCCAGTAAAAGTTGAAGTACTAAAGCAACTTTATTACTCAAGTAAAAGTATAAAAGTACAGGCTCTGAAATGTACTAAAAGTACAAAAGTAAAAAGTAGTCTATTAACCACTTTTGTACAAAGGTAACTGAACCTTGTGCTGTGTTAATATAATAATAAAATAACATTAGTACACAAGAATTCAAAAATTATTTGAATTTAAATTTAAATGAATGTACTCAGTGTGATCTGCTATGTAGGTCCCCTGCAGTGAAAGTGAATGAAAAAAACAAAACTTTTTTCTGTTGCCTACATTGTAGAGGGTGCCTTTGGCTCCACACATAAACAGGAAAATGAGAACAGTCAAGGCTTGCACCGGGATTTAGCAGGTGGGGAAACCTGAAATTGGTTGTAGTGGCTCAGTGTGGGGAATAGAATCACAACTCACAATAATTTCTAATATGAGCTTCAGTAGATTTTCTCTGTGTACAGGCTGTGATCAGCTGACCTGCTGCTCTTTGCAGATGCACATAACTGAATTCAACAAGATGTTAGCAGATGTTTCACAGCTATCATGGCTAATGTCCATCCTCTACACTGACACTATACTATTTATACTGTCTTTATCTTACACAGTGTATAGTTGTCAGGTAATTTGTATTTGTAATAACCGGCCACTTAAAGAAATGTTTCACCCCCGAGTATAAATTCGTGGACCCCTTTTGAAAATGTAAGGAGTATAAAGTACAGATATTTTTTTTTGGTTGTCAGAAAAGAACTACTCAAGTACAGATACCAGAATATGCTATTGACGTTTATAGTAGTGAAGCATTTGTCTATTAATTAAAATTAATAGACAGTGTTAAACCCCTCAGGAAATTGCTGTGATCATCCACCCAGGCTCCAAGAGTAGCTTTTTAGACTGTGTGGGCCAGTTAGCTCAGATAGTCAGAGCGTGGTGCTAATAACGCCATGGTCATGGGTTCAAGCCCCATACTGGCCACAGAATCACAAGGAAGAGTTTGTTGTAGATGCCAGAGACACTGGCTAGTTTTTTGTTTTGTTTTTTCAAGCTATGCATGTCCAGTTGGCAGCGATGTTAAAAAGTGACCTGCTGAAGTTCAAATTGAGCATCAGAGTTTGGAAGTGATTAAATGACTTTGAACGTGGCATGATTTTTGGTCTGAGTTTTTCAGATATTTCCCACATCACCATATTTAAGGTTTACAGAGAATGGTCTGAAAAGGGGAAATTATTCACTTAGTTAGACGAAGGCAACAGTAACTCAAATAATCACTCGTTACAACCAAGGTATGCAGAAGACCATCTCAAAAGCAGCAGAAGACCACAAAGAGTACCATTCAGCAACTTGTTGAATCTATGCCATGAAGAATCGCAGCAGTTCTGAAGGCAAAGAGCATCCAACCTGGTGCTAGTGAGGTGTAACTGTAAGCAGTCATTGTTTTTAATCACATCCTTCTGTTTCCAGCCGAAGGGCTGTTTTATTCTGTCCTGATTGGAAACAGAGAGTGGATGAGGAGGAATGGCCACCACATAGGAGCAGATGTGGATGCCGCGATGTCGAGCCACGAAACCAAAGGGCAGACAGCCATACTGGTGGCTATAGATGGTGAGGGGAAAACAAAGTTTTCTTTGTGGCTTTGGTGCCACATTTAAACTTCATCTTATGCTGTGTGTGTGTGTGTAGGTGTTTTGTGTGCAATGTTAGCCATCGCAGACACGGTGAAAGCAGAGTCAGCATTAGCAGTGCATACACTGAACACTATGGGCATTGAGGTGGTGATGATGACGGGAGACAACAGGCGCACAGCTAAAGCCATAGCAGCACAGGTAACACTTGCACACTCTTAAAATCTACCTGAATGTTTAACATGTAATCAAAGCGTTTGATTGGCTGCAGGTGGGGATCAGAAAAGTATTTGCAGAAGTGCTGCCATCACACAAGGTGGCAAAAGTCCAGGCGCTGCAGAAACGAGGCCTGCGGGTGGCCATGGTGGGAGATGGCGTGAACGACTCCCCCGCCCTCGCCCGTGCCGACGTCGGCATCGCAATCGGGACAGGCACCGATGTGGCTATTGAGGCGGCTGACATTGTCTTGATCCGAGTAGGTGGCAGATAGTCTGTGTGCAGATACATTGGCTCGTTTAAACTGTCTCACTTGAAGCTTTTCGCGCTCTGCAGAATGACCTGCTAGATGTGGTGGCCAGCATCGAGCTGTCCAAGAAGACGGTGCGTCGGATAAGGATCAACTTTGTCTTTGCTCTCTTCTACAATCTTGTTGGAATACCAATTGCTGCAGGTGAGAGCTACAGTAAAATCCTGAACCAATAATGGACTCTAGTCAAGGTGAACGTGCAAGCTTGATATTTCGGAAAACCAAAATCCAAAATGAAATCAGAAATTATTCTTATCCTGGCACATTGTGGATGACATTGAGGTGCCTCTTTCTCAAATGTGAACTGTTGGTCGTAGGTGTGTTCATGCCCGTTGGCCTGGTGCTCCAACCCTGGATGGGCTCAGCTGCAATGGCCGCCTCATCAGTTTCAGTGGTCCTGTCTTCTTTACTGCTGAAAATGTGAGTCCTTCTGCGTTTACATTATCTACACTTATATTAAAGATTAGGGAGGAAACAGCAGGACAAAGCAGCCACAATTTAAATCAGACCTGTTGATGGTGCCTGACTGACCCCTGTGAGGGAAATTAAGATGATACATCGTGCATCACAGGGGCTCACCAAAATTGGACAATAGATATCTGGAAACATATTCCGTGGTCGGATGAGTCTATTTCAGTTTAGAATTTGACGAAAACAGTATGAATACATGGATTCATCCTGCTTTATTTCAACAATTCATCCTGGGAGTGGTGGTGTAATGGCATGGGGCACATTTTCTTAGGACATTTTTGCTCATAGGGATTCCAGCTGGTTGGCTCAGATGGTTAGAGTGAGGTGCTAATAATGCCAAGGTCACAGGTTCACCCCATACTGGACAAGGAAAATCTGCATTTCAATGATTTAATTTGTTTTTATTTATATAATGCCAAATCGCACAACAGTCACCTCAAGGCGCTTTATATTTTAAGGTAGACCCTACAATAATACATACAGAGAAAAACCCAATAATCAAATGATCCCCTATGAGAAAGCACTTTGGCGACAGTGGGAAGGAAAAACTCCCTTTTAACAGGAAGAAACCTCCAGCAGAACCAGGCTCAGGGAGGGGCGGCCATCTACTGCGACCGGTTGGGGTAATCATGATCATGAAACTGACCTCACACTGACCTCACAGCCCATTGTTAGTTAGTCAGTGGTGCCAGTATCATTAATTATGTAAATATACTGTTTATACAGTGGGGAAACCTGCAGTCAGCTCAGACTAAAAACATTTATCTGTCTGAAATCTCAGCGTCCAGATGAACACAATAAACTTTATGTGATATGAATCTTATGTTTTCCCTTCTCCCGCATACCTGGTCTGTTTTCACTCGTGCTTGAGTTTAGTAGTGAAATTAATCACCCCGTATTTCCTCCAGGTACAAGAAAACCTCAGCGGATCTCTATGAGATGCGTGCTAGAGGCCAAATGAGGAGCCTTCGTTCGTCTCAGATCAGCACACATCTGGGTCTGGATGGCCGGCGGCGCAGTCCCGCTCTCCCCAATGCAACTTGGGAACAGAGGAACCCAAGCGGCATGACTCCACCTGGCTTCTCCAGCCGCTCACCCAGTCAAGGGGCATCCATTAAGGTTGTTGCTGAGGAGCAGAACCGCTACTCCCTGCTGGAGCACCAGACTGCAGATGTCCTCAACGTGTTGTAAAGGGAAAACAGGAAGATGTTTTTTACCTGGTACTCATGTTTATGACTAAAAAAAAAAGTATTTATGTAAATACACTAATTGTCAAACCTAAAGTGCTCTTTTATTTTGATGTAACATTAAAGTTTTACTGAAGCCACATGTATAAAGTCAGTTTGCTTATGTGTCACATAAATCCTCCAGACAAATAACTTCGGTGCAAATCGACTTTTACAATATCCACGAGTCAGAGTAAAGCTACTGTTCGGATAAGGCCGTCAGTGAGAGTGTGGATCTGAGAGCTTATAAATAATGCATGTGTTGATAGAGGGAAATCATTTTCTGTGTAAAAATCCCTTCATCCGTTTCATCTGATTTTGTGATTTGTTTGCAAATTTGCACATTCTCAATGCAAATTAAGTTCCACCAAATCCAAGAAGAAAATAAAAACACTCCAGAGAAGAAAAAACTACTCTTTTCATGTTTCCTTGTGGGATATTTTCCAGTAAAGCTTCACAGATGTGAAGACAAAAAATTGGAGTGCAGTATTTTTTCCTTCCTTTTTTCCATATCTGCTTCACACTGTGCCAGGGTTAATTAATGGAGCGCATTAATCAAATGACCTCACACATGGATTCTATAGTTAGTTTCACATCTTGTTGAGCTTAATTACGAGTGAGTAGATATATGGACATCAGGGTTATAAATATGACTCGTGTCTCGCACTTAGCCTGCACAATAGACTTTTTTATTACGACAGTCTGACATATGGAAGCAGGAAAAGCACAGCTGTAACCTGGTACGCCTTTATTCGTGTCATTATTCACGCCTGCCAAGAGAACAAGTCAAAGGGCTACTAATTAGCTCCCTATTATAGTGAGTCTAGAAGCAAGGCTGGTGCTCACAAAATGTAATTTGCTCTCATTCATTTCTTTTTGGTTATCAGGAACAAAACCTTAAAATCACAGGTCTGGCCCACTTAAAGTCAAAGTGGGCTGTATGTGTCCACAATGTAAAATTATTTTGACATAACTGACAAATAAATCTTTTTGCTAGTGTGTCAGCACATTTCTCTGTAGGAGCTTTTTGAAATGACGCTACTTTGAATCCCGTGAGGTCTTCAGTGATTGCTTCAACCCTTCCTCCAACCCTGCGTTTTGGAGCAAACTTAGAGGGACTGAGAACACGATACTAATTTAAGGTGAAGTGGATAAGGCCCCACTCTCGCAGCCCTAGGGACCGGTTCATGTCTGTTATTCTTGTCCCTTCTGATGGGAATCTTACATCCTCAGCTCTGCTTCCTGGCAGTGCCACTGTCTCCAAACCATACATCACAGCAGGTCTTCGTCCCACCTTGTAAACGTTCCTTTTAGTGCCTCTGGTATCCTTGCAATCCTGCCACTAGCCAACTTTGCCAGCTTGAAGTGTTTGTAGTCGTGGTTGTAATCCTCCAAGGTTATGCACTGTGAGATAACAAACCATACATTATTAAGCTCTCAGTAAATATCTTGTGGTCTGGCTTATCAATTACAACTCATCAATCAGTAACCATATGGTTTCAAAGTCAGATCCATGTCTGGTGTCAAAACTTAAGGCTTAAAAAACAGGTCTTCAAAAACTGGTGGCTACAAACCTGAACAGAAGTTTGTCAACACTCAGTGGAACCAAACATGGGATCCAGACCCCTTCAAAAGGTCAAGAGATATTAAATGTGTTTTAAAAATTCAAAAGCAAAGCAAATTTGTTGTGAGATGCTCAGTACAGTCCTTTTTTTCACAGTGCGTTTTATGAGGACAATTTTTTTTGCAAAAAACGCAGGGCTGGCATTGTCATTGTTTCACAACACGGTTTACTGACTTCAGTCTTGTTGCTGTGGTCTTAAAGACAGTCTTGTAAGATTTCTGCTTGTATTTGGTTAAAAAAATGTTTTTTTTATGTTACATTACTGACTGTGAAGGGCACCTTCTCATTCAGTTTTGTAATATTTCGTTGTTGTAGCTACTTCCTGCGCAAATCTCTTCTGACTTAATAGCATGTCAAAATATATTGCACATTTTGCAAGATTACTCTGGGGAGTTTGTTGCTCGCTCAGCTTTTGGTCTGTAATCGTGCCAGGTTTAGGGCTGATGCACTTTTAGGTCAGAGAAATACATATACATACACAGTCTGCTGGTCTCGTGGAAGTTTCA